GCATCCTGAACAAAGGCACAGCGTGGGCAGAAACTGTGGGACATGGCAACGAACAATTCCTTTAAGCCAGAATGTGGGATGAGTAAACAGACTCAGTATGGAATTAGGCTTATAGGGGATTTGGGGATCACGGGCAGATTAACAAGGGCACCCTTGATGCTGTGGGCATTGCAAAGCCACTGACCATTTTAGAGCACAGGACAATGCTCTAGTTCAAGTTTTCAAGATGAATCCATCAGCACAAACCCTGTACTGTGGTAGAGGAAAGACTATAAAAGGTGGGGTAGGTGGGGAGGCTGTGATAACGATCCCTGTAAGATGAAGAAATAAGACAAATTCCATGAATTTATTATCTATTGCTGTATTACAAGTTACCACAAATGGAGTGGTGGAGAAAAACATAAACATGTTATCTGCTTGTCTCCATGGATCCGGAGTCCAGTGCATTTTAGCCGTGTTGTCTGCTCAGGGGCTCACGAGGTTGGAAATCAAAGTGCTAGGCAGCTGGGTCTTCATCTGGAGGTTCAACTGGGGAAAAGTTCGACTTAAGCTCCCTGAGGTTGTTCAGTTTCTTGCAGTTGTAGGACTGAGGACCCCGTCTTCTTGCTAGCTGCCAGCCAGAGATCGCTTTAGTTCCCAGAGGCCACTCACTGGTCCTTGCCACGTGGCCCCTTCCGTGATTTGGTAGTTTGCTCCTTCAGGGTCAACAGGTGCTGTTTCAAATCTCTCTGACTTTGTTTCTGGCCTCAAGCTCCTTTGTTAAAAGTGCTTACCTGATTAGGTCAGACCCACCACACTCTTAGGGAGATCATTATACAGGGTGACCCACTGTGGGGGTAGGAATCTTGGGGATCATCTTGGAATTCCATCTTTCACATTCCTAAACCCAGTGATAACCACTGAGCTGTGAGACCACAGATGGCTCCAGAAGTTTCCCTTGGAAGAGCCCCAGATGTGGCTTCTCCTTTCAGAAACATCCACATCTATCTGTTCCAGGCTCCTCTCCACAACCTCAGGAGCCTTCTCCATAGACAACAGAATAGAAATATTCAAAAGCATAATTCTCATTCGAGTCAAGACCTGATTCTACATGGTATCACAATCTTTCTCCTGCTGCCAGATTTTTTTAAGTGTTTTTTCTTTAATCTTTGTTACAAATTTACTTTTCACATATAGGATGCAGGAAGAGTGTTCAGCTAAGTGGGTTCCTCCCAGGGATGTGGTAGACAACAACCATGTATAGCAGTGTCCCAGGGAGCCATGTGCTGTGAAACCCCAGCCCCCTGTTCAGGGCCAGCCTGTGAGGTGGGTGCGGAGGAGCAGGGGTGGGCTTGTGAGCCTCTGCCCTCTGGGTTAGCCTTTCAGTCCCTAACTGACTGCCTCCACACTCTTCCGCATACATTAAAGAAAATGTATGGGTGCAAGAGTCTGGAATTCAACAGCTCATAACTACAATTAACCACCATTAATTAATGGCTGTGAGATAAATGAGCCATGCGATCCGTTTATCCCTGGGTTGTAAGTATTTAAATTCACAGTAGGATGCAGGTCCATTTTTCACCACTGTGAATTTGAGTTTGAATCAGGGCTGCACGTTGCAAGAAACAAGCAACAATTTCCTCTCTGAATAGTTCACCTTTCAGGTCCTCTGTACTGGCAAGGCAGACAGAGGCAGCGAATCCCCATGCACCGCAGGAACAGACAGTGGAGTCCAGGATCTGAGCAAGACCTTTCGAAAGTAATAAGGAGAACGATGATGTGATGGGACTGGCCCTGTGCTGGCTGCTGTGCTAGGAAATGTCTAGGTAGGGGTTGGTGTTAATTTCACCATTTCCTTATGAAGCACATTATTATCCTCATTTTATGCTTAAAAGAACTGATGCTCAGAGATGTTAAGAACTGCTCTAGAAACCAAGCTGTTCTTCCCCATTCCTAAATTTCTTCCGGGATGCTCCCAACGTGTACCTTCAGATGACCTTGCCCCTAATTTTCACGTAGCATCACAGCCTGTGTCCTGACTTATCAAAACTTCCCAAATAATAACTGAATATTCTGCTTGCCATTAGGGTATCAATCCAACAACCAGACAGAGATAAGATTCAGAAGACAAGGAAAAGAGGAAAAGAAAAGATTGTGATCTCCCTAAACAGAAAACAAAATGAGATGGGGTCCTCATCTTCCCCACTAAGAGGTTTACTAATTACAAAGAGAAAAATAGTAACCTTTCCATGAAGAAACTTGCCGGTCACCATCTAAACCAAGTGGTCAAAGCCCGTGGGATTTTGAAACAAAATTTGGGGTAATGTCCAATCCGAGAATTTTTTTTCTTTCTGAAAAATCACTATCTTTATGCACGGGCATGAAGAAACTACTCTATTTTAAAATGTCTCATTCAGCTGACTTTACTAAATTTAAAAGATGGGAAGGAAATGTGTCCTATTGATTCACAAAACAGTTTGAAAACAAAGGTAAATTCTGCTTGAGATCAGCTTGTGGAAGCAGCATGGAGTTGGTAAATAATACATTCTCATCCCTTGTAACGTGGCACCCACATGGCGATATTCTGCTTGGTAGAAAGCTGCTATCAGATTAGAGAGGGAGAAAAAAGGAAAAGCCTGTGAAACCCTTATTATGACTTGGAAGAGACTGCAGAAGAAGATATTCTGAGATCTTTGCTTAAAGAAATCAACAGAATTTGTCCACTTTATCCACTTTATCCAATATCCAATTAACCATCTCTTTGTCAAATGGCATTTTAATTGTTTACTTTTGCACAGCATCTCCTGGAACACAAATTGAAAAAAATATATATATAAAGTCTACATTTTGAGGGTAAAGTCAAGAAGCAGAGAAGAAGGGTCATGACTTTTTAAAAATCTTTCAGAGATAAACTTGAGCGTGTTAGCAGTGAGAAAGGAGAAAATGCAGACAGAGAGAGTAGAGGTAAGATACACACCAGATGAGCTACAATTAAGAGAGAAATTTCAGCCCGAAGCTGCCTGCACTCAGCATCTCCCAGGACCAGAATCACTGCGATCACAGGCCAACAGAAACTTAGCAACTCCTTCCTAACCTGACCAGGCTTGGAAGGAATCATTTTTTTTTTTTTTTTTTTTTTGCTCAGCACTGGAGGACAGAGTGTGCAGAAGCCAGCACAGCTGGAGAGTCAAACAATGGTTGCCGTTTTCGCCTGTTCCTGCCCCGCCCCTAGGATGGGTGCCCCCCGCGGCTAGCCTGTAACTGCCTTGATGGGCCAGCCAGCCCCTCTTCCAGACTGGGATGCCTTCCCAGCGTGCTTTGCCTCCAATAACTCTTTCGTGTGGCATCAATCAGATACGATGTGAATGTTACTTTGCAGAGTTGGGCAGCGTGGGGGTGCTGTGCTTCTGATGCTCCAGGTAGCTTTGCTCTGAACATCCAAATCTAAGCATTTGTGCTGCTTCTCAGTGGGTGAACCCTCCTGGCTTCCCTTGATTTTCCCGAAGCAACACTCAGATTTGTCATACCCGTTAAAAAGAAATGTCATGTTGCACCTGTATCTTGCACTTTTCTGAGTTTGGTGTATGCGTGTATAAATCTACCTCAGCACGTGCTAGGTTCTTCTTTGATCTTCCTAACTCAATCACATTTAGTAATAATACCTCTAAACAGGGGAAATAATCCAACAGGGACAAACAGCTGATGAAGCAGGTAAACACCGGTCACCCTGTAAACTTGTACCCGGGAACATTTTTAGATCCTTTTGCAAAGTTTGAGAATTTTATTCAAAGAACCTAATCCTTTAAAAACAAACACACACACAAATGGTAAAAGCACTCTGCATGAAGATATTTATTTCTGGGTTAGTTGAATATATAACTAAAAATAATTGTGAATAACATAAATATCCAACAATGGGAAAGTGCTTAAGTAAATAAAATTGTATCAACCTGACTTGAATAGTATGCAGCCAATAAAAATGTTAATTAGTAACAGGATGAAGAAACTCGACATTTGTTTGTGATATAATGCTAAATGAACAAAGCAGAATACAAAATTATATGTACACTGTGAGTCAAACTATAAAAATTGTATCTGCCTGGGGACAGGGTGGGGAATAAACATGAAAAATGAAAACAGCTTTATTTGGGGTTTTTGTTATTGTCATTATAATGCTGTTGCACAGTAAATTAAAAAAAACTTTAAAAATAAAACGACGAAAGAGTCCAACTGAAAATGGAACAATTTTCAGGAGGAAGACACTTTTTGGGGGTGCCTTAAAAATCTGACATTCTGTCCCTTAACTACCTGTCCAATTTTTTTGTTTTGTTTTTTAAATTTTTTTCTATTTTTGTTTTGTAATTATGTTTATTTGTTTATTAGTGTTATTATTTTTTTAATGGAGGTACGGGGGATTGAACTCAGGACCTCGTGTGCTAAGCATGCGCTCTACCACTGAGCTAAACCCTTCCCCCACCTGCCCGGTTTTGATGTTTCCGTCACATTGTATTTCTCCATGGTTTTGTATCACAGGCTGGTCCCTGTTCCTGGAATGATTTCACCCCATTTGTTTGAATATGAAGCTCCTGTTCCTTCTCTGAAAGGTGTGTATTACTAACTGCATCTCACAGATGACAAAACTGAAGGTAAGTAACTCTCTTGAGGTCACACAGGACTGCAGAGCTGAGATTCAAACGCAGATCTGTTCAACTTAAAACCCCACCTTGGTTCCACCACGCCATGCCCCACGCATACAACAAGCGTATAATGTAGGGTCACAGGGTTTATCCAACCATTTTTATTGTCATTAGTTGTTTACATGCTCATTGTCCCCACTGAGCTGTTATAAGCCTGATGTCTGTTGAATGAATATGAAAGCTTAACTGTGTAACATATACATGTAGGCACATCCATAAGGGCCTAATTCAAAACCACCCCTGTTCTCTTCACCAGAGGCTGAGGCCCAGACTCTGGCCAGGAGGATGTTTTTCATGGGTCGTGGGTCTCTGAATTCCCAAGGAAGCCAAGAATCTGGCTGACTTCCTTTCCCTCTCAGCAAAATGATGAGACCATAGCTTCAAAATATTCAAATACCCTGGAAGGGGAAAAAAAATGCCACTTGCAAATATGGTTTCATTTATCTCATGAAATATGTATTTCCAAATGGAGAAAGATGACCGGACACCTCCTTTTCTAATGCAAGAACTGGCCTGCTGGCAGAAGGAAAAGCCTTCGAGACGGTGACGTGGGTCTTGATGAAGAGAGCACCAGGAGCGCTTTGCCGCAGTCCCAGCCCTGACTCTTTCCAGGACTCCCCATTGTCCACCCGGCCAGCGCATCAGTGCTGCGGACAGCAGGTGGGCAGACAAAGGGCTGAGCTCTGCCAGCGCTGTGCTGGTAAATGGGGAACGGCTGGCTCTCTTGGGCAGGAACAGAGAAGGTATGCCCTGGTGGGTAGCGTCTGCCAATTTTCATGGCGTGAATACTCCCAACCTGGCCAGCTTCATGCTGCCAGTGGGACTTTGACTAGGGCAGTTGGGAGGGGTACAGGTTCATGAGAATGTGATTCTGGAAATTCTCTCTAAGGTCTGTAAGCCAGGTCAGCTTTACAGAACCTTTGCTTAACACAAAAGTATCACCTACCCGACGAAACACATGCCCCATAGCATTAAATGCAATGTGAAAAACACAAATACATAGTTACCTACATTTCTCTATCTCCCCCCACATTAAAAGGAGATTTTTGTTTTTCACTAACTCTTTTGGATCAATGTGTAACTCCCTTCTTCTTCCCCTGAATATGATGACAGACCAAACTGTTTTGTAGGGAGTAGAAATGGGAAAGCACCAAGAGGGGAAAACGAGGAGGTGATGGAGCATTGACAAGTCTGCGACACAGGAAAGAAGAGTAACAGTGTGGGCGTCACCACTGGCCACCAGCCCTGGGGTCTTGGGCTGGGCAGACAAGAGGTGGCCTGAAGCAGGAGCCCAAGAAGATTCATTTGCAGGCACACAAGGAGCCTCGTCTCCCCCACCCTGTCTTATTTTTACAAAGTCATTCAAATAAAGAGAACTGATAGTGGAGCTGTAGTTCTAAATCTACCATGTTTTCTTTTCCCTTTCCTCAATCAATGCACCCTCTCCTTTTTGGCCCCGAGCAGCTACCTGGCTTCAAGTTCTTCTGGGTGGCTCTTCCCATATCCCTTTAGGGATCGAGTCTCAGGTCAGGTCTCCAAGGCCAACCCTGAGATGAGGATGTGTATACAGGTGACTCCTGAAGGCAGTGCTCCCTGGGGGAACCAGGAGGGAAGGGGCAGCAGGACAGAGAAAGGCTATTGTACTTACTCCCTCAGTGCTTCCATTTCCTCGTCTGTAAAGTGGGAATAATAATAACCATTTCTATCCACCATATAGGCTTGTTATATAGGAGGAAATGAGTTAATTCCTATAAAGTACTTAGATCCATACTGAGCCCATAAATCTCTATATAAAATGTTTGTTTAATAAAATCTGATCTTTCCAGGCTACAAGATCTTATCCCTGAGGTCAGAGCTGCTGGAACAGAAAGTTTACAAACTCTCAAGTGAGAAAAGAAAGTGGCAAAATATTCCAAAGCTACCGATACCTTTAAAGAAGAAGAATATGCAAAGGAAAAAAATATATGATGCTCAAACAGTACAGACAAACTTAAAGGAGTGGAGTAACGACACCATTTCTGAGCTTTACTGAAAAACAAACACCGTCTGGAAGGATTAGCAGCAGCTTTTAAATTTGAGAGTGTACCCGCATGCCATGAATGCAGCTGTGTTTCCAACACAATGGTGGGCACTGAGTGTCTGCTCCAGGAGGCATATGGAGACCAGTCAAACACATCTCCCTATTCAAATAGCTGTTCCCCGAGTTGGTTTCCACTGCTGGGAAATATCAGGGGGTGAGGAAGACACTAGCAGATGCTACGTGGTACCATGTGTGTCATTAACTATTAATAAGCCGACTAAGCTATTACTCACTAATATTAACAGTTAGTGTGTGTCACTAAGCTGCTTAAGACTCTCCCGTGACACATCAGCATGCACAACAAGCCTGCCCTGAGCTGCCAAAAGCCACCCTCTCCATCCCCTAGTTGGCACTACCCCTCCTAGACTTGTACCTCAAACATGCTGGCTCATTCCCACCCCAGGGCCTTTGCACACATAGCAGGAAGATTCTTTCCTGTATATGAACCCCCCTCTTATCCTAAAAACTTCAGCCTTCCCTGATCACCCTCACCATCATAGGTACCCTATTGGGTTCAAGCCCTTTGTTTACTTCCTTCCTTTAAGTTAATGCAATTTATAACTATACATTTTCTGAAGTACTATTTCATTTTGCTGTTATCTGTCTTGATCTACTAAAATGTGTCGTCCATAAGACACAGTATCATGTCTGTTTCACTCTCAGTTGTGGTCTAAGAATTTTCCATAAGGACTAACGTGTAGTAAGGGTTCAATAAACACTCAATGAATGAATGAATGAATGACGAATAAACAGTTCAAAGGAGTTATAGCAAACATAGATCTAGGTTCAGCTCCTAACTCTAACACTCAATCTATACTGTCTTGGGCAATCTGTCTCTATGTCTTTAGTTAATAACATATAAATGTGATTAGAACAGAGTCCAACACCTGATAGACACACAATAGGTATTGTTACTATGGTTACTAGTATTAGCATCAGTGGTTCTAGCACTATGTCTCAATTTCCTCTTCTAGTAAAGAGGAAGAAACAGTCTGGTCTCACCTGTCTCTTGTGGACTGTCCCAAAATACGCTAATGACAGTAGCTCACATTGACAAGGGCATACGTGTTCGTCTCTTCTTGCCTCCAAGAGCCAAGACTGCACCCCAAACTTCTCACACTGCTGGAGGAGGTGTGTTCAAATGCCAGGAGGGCCTGCGGTGAATCCAGCTCCCTACACATCACAGCAGACAGGCAGCCTTGATGCTGGCAAAGGAGGGTGCCCAGCCCGCACAGCATATGGACCTGCGGCGGAGCATATGGGTCTAGTCCTAGAGAAGGGGCCCCCATATGCTCCCCGAGCCGGGCCTGCCTTGCCCACTCCCAGCCTCCCCACACTTTTGGCTGGCTCATAAATCAGCCGTTTCCCACCACCCCAGTGCTCCGGCTGATCCACGTGTGATTAATGCACACGTTGGCCTGCAGCCTGGCGAGAACCCCAGGTACAGGTGGCGAGGAAGGAAAAAGACTTAATTGGAGGTGGGGGGAGGAGGAGGAGGGAAGTCGAGGTCGTTCCTCATTGCCATTGAGCCAGCGCTATCTTTAGAAGTCCTGGCTTTGGAAGAATGAGTTTTCTTGGAAATCTGTCTTGCAGACTCCCCAGGAAGCCCACAGCAGCCTGGGATGTTGCCTGGAGTTGACCTCCGAAGACTCAGAAAGATGATTGCTCCATTTGCTTCTGTCCCACCCTCCAGGATCCTCCTGGGCCTCTTCACCTGAGCTCAAACATACATTCAGACCCTGTAAGCCAGGCCGCAGTCCCTGGAGACAATAAGATGAGATGGGTCGGGAAGCAAATCCACTCAACTGGGGTTTAGACCAATATTTTCCAACTGTGCTCATCAGAGGGCAAAGGGTTGTATGCAGCGGCCTCGGGGAGGGAGCGCTCCAGGGCCCCGTGGCTGGTTCAGTTGGAGAAATTCTGCTTCGACTTGGTTTTACAGGTTAGGCTGTTCAAACACAATGTAGCTGTGGTTTTGTTAAGGATCATGTGGCTGAAAAAAATTGAGAGCCACTCAAATCAAAAAATGCTGCAGATACAATGAGGCGTGTCTGCTTTAGGAAGCATGATAATAAAATAAATGATAGTCGGCATTCGCTGGTGCGAGACAGGGCAGCACCGTGATTAACAGAAGAGATGCTAGGTTACTTTTCCATTTGGTGATTGAGAGACCTTGGGCAAGAAATTTTCCTCTCTATGTCTCAATTCCTTCATCTGGGAAATGGAAATTATAAATGGCACCTGACTTAGAGAGACATGGGGGAGACTTAGTGATGTTAATCCACGCACTGCCTTTGCGTGATGCCAGAGCATAAAAAGTAACCAGGACATATTTGCTATAATTCTCCTTGAACAATAGTCCCAAAATATCTACTTGCATCATGGAGAACATTGGTGTTCTGGGGAACCCAGTTTGAGCATCATCCATCTGGGCGACTCCAGTTTTATGCAATTCAACACAATGCAGTTTGAAGCGACTAGGCTCTCTGCTCCCCTGTCTTGCGTGTATTCTCCTATATTCATTCAACTATCCGTCCTCTGAACAACCAAGCCAGTTCAACATTTATTGAATGCCCACTCAGTGTCGAGAACCTTAGAAGAGTCACTTCACTTCTCTGATGATCAAAGAGCCCTTCAGTACGTTGTGGGTGTTAAGACGAACCACAGCGTGGGATTTTTATATAAAGTGAAATAAATTATCTAAAAAGGTTTTGCAACCTGCGAAGTGCTCTCTCTGTATTAGGGATACTCAGGGACAGAGTGACCACACGTCTCGGTTTGCTTAGACATTCCGGGAACAGTTATTAGTAGCAATCGCTTTTATTCTCAAAAGGGTCCCATTTATAAGTTAAGTCCTACATTCACCTGGTGTGAAGGTGGCAATGCCGGCCATGTGTGTTGGCATTGGTTTGCCTAGAAGGAGGGGCCGCTTTTCCCTCTGCAGAAGTCTGGACTCCAGGTTAGGGATAAAGAGGCTCAGAGTGTGTTTTGAAGTATGGGCTTCGTGCCCTTTAAAGAGATGGAAAACTGACTCTAGCTCTCAGTGGGCGGACTGCATCCCCACCCGGAAAGGGCTGGCAGCGGGGAGGGGAAGGATTCGTGACCGTGGTTACACGACCGCTGGGGACAAGCGAGCTACCTGGGAGAACTTTATATGAACCAGTGCAACCTGATTTAAGAAAAGGCCAGAAGAGCCCCCTTCAATCATTGCGGGGAACCCACAGAAAGTGTTTCCCGTGTGTTAATTAAAAGACACCATCAGCTAATTCTAGCGGCAAATTTATTTCTCTTCTCCAAAGCCATTTCTCCATTTCTTAGATTTGTCTCCAAACTTTCTTTCTGTGATCTCGTGTTGGGAATTTATGACAAATCTAAGACACTAACACTGGGATGGACCCTCAGATAGTTCCCTGACTCATCCCTCCTGAGCGTTTTATGGCGCAAAGCTGGATAAACCTGGCACGCTGCTTCTACGGAATGAGTTCAGTCCCAGGAGCTTCCCTGGAGTTTCGTTCAAATCGATTTGAGCCAGTTTCTCTATTCTGTAAAACACAGCATTTAAGAACATGGGCTCTGAGGGCAGATGCATGTGAACCCAGTTCCAGGCTGGGCTTCTTACTAACTGTGATCTTGAGCAAACTGTGAGCTCCTCTAAGCCTCAGTTTCATCATCTGTGAAATGGAGATCATAAAAGCCCCGATCTCTTAGGATTGTGATGGATATATTACAGCAGCGTAATGAAACACTGCCTGTTCATCTTTTCATCTTTATTTTTTTATTTTATTTTTTTAGGGGAAGAGGTAACTGGGATTATTTATCTATTTATTTTTTAAGTGGAGGTACCGGGGACTGAACCCTGGACCTTGTGCCTGCTAGGCAGGCACTCTTACCACTGAGCTATCTCTTCTCTCCTTTTCATCTTTATTTTTAACATCTTTCTTATGATTATCTTACTAGTGAGCACTGCCTAGCCTCCCGCTGGGAGACGAGAAGGGCTCTCCTGTGAAAGGCAGAGTAAATGTGAGTGTTACCTCTGTCTCCACCTTCAGCCTTCATGCCCTACCCTGCAGCCCAAAGGCAAGCTCTTATCAATGGCTCAGATTTCAGGGGGTCAAGGCAGAATATCTGCTTCCTTCTGTCTTTCAACTGAAAATCCATTTTGGGGTGGGAATTAAGGTGACCCCCATCCATCTAAATAGTTCAGTTTCTGTCTGAATGTTTGCCAGTCTGTTAGGAGAGTGTTGATAACAAGGAAGATAAAAAATGTATTTAGGAAGAATGTGAGTGAGTGTTTTAGAAATCTGTATAAGTGAACTCCTGATTC